GACGCAGCTCACACTAGTTTTTAGCTAGTTATATCTGTTCATGGTAATGTTTTTCCAGTATACAAAATGTATAATAAAGCAATAATTAATTCGGTTATCACATAATTTACAATATCATGCTCAACCTCATCCAATAATAGCCCTCTGAAACTTTTACGTCAGCAACGTCTTGTGCAAGGAATTATGGGATACGCTCGGGGTAAACAAACAAAATGGCGGAGTGTCTTGTAAAATTTTTACCGGAGGATGTTCCAGGGGCAATTTTACCTTGCCCTTTGTTAGAAGATAACACCTTTGAAGACCTCAAACGATACGTGGAGACCAGAGCCTTTACAGTGGGAAAGCAAGAGTCAAAAGTGAAGCTTCTTAAAAGGTAAGTGCTGATGAATTGAGCGATATTTCGCGGGATGACTTGAGTTTTTATAAGACTTATATTTATATAGTATAAGGCTAATACTTCGTCTAGCCGTATCAAAAATGAACCTGGAATGATCTAGTTAGCAAAGTAGAAGCAATAAGCAAAAAGCATTGTTAAAGACAGGAAAAATAGGTATTTTTTAAATTTCCGTGACAACTAGTAGCTAGAAGCTCGTAGCTTTGACGAAAGAAAGTCCCAGCTAGTCTCCTTTCGTGTAAGACACTGTCATAACATTGTCTATTACCCACTTGTCGTTGATTTAGTGTTAATAAATTACGTTTTTTTTTTTTGTAACTCAGATGATTTATAAACAACACATACAGTGTTACCGAAAGACAGTTTCGTGCATAGTTGCATGTGGTTCGTATAAGCTTTTAAAAATAACAAATAGYACTGTTTTTCCCTCTTAAATCCAAAGTAGTTTAATAGCATAAGAAAAGCATAGCTATTTATTGAATAATRCTGGTATCTGCTGTGYTGTAGAGTTTTCATTTGTCTTCTATTATAATTATTCAGAATTTCAGATCTCAAGTCGAGTGGGCTGGACAAATTTATCGTCGATCCAGATGGGGATGTACAGTATGCAATCATCGAAGAGCACGTGAGACAAAAAATTCCAGATATTTCTCCCCCCTTGTTGAAAAATTGGACGAAGGACATGGCAGTACCCACAGATTTTTCCTATAGTCATTTATATGAATATCTTGTCAAAAGAACTATTACAATTCTGAAGGTAGATATAAATTATTGAAAAGTATATTTTTAACTAAATTTCTAAAAATCATGTTACTGATTGACATTGATAGGTAAAGGATGATGTTAAAGAGGAAAATAGTGTAGATAAGGAGCTAGAATTTGAACTTCCCATTGCCGAGAAACCTCTAAGGAAAGGGTACAACTTTTATGGTTCTGGCCATGTCAAGGATATAAGATTTTGCCCTTCATCATCTGTTACCCATGTCAAGTCATCTGTCATGGCCAGCATGAGGAATTTGGTGTATGTAGTTTCAATAACCATTGAGAATTCGACATCCATCATCCTCACTGCAAAGTGTCAGTGTGTGGCTGGTGCAGCAGGCAAGTGCAACCATGTGGCTTCAGTACTGTTTGCTCTTGTGGAATACAAAGAACAAGAAAAGAAAATTTCATGTACTGATGAACCCCAGCAGTGGAATTTACCATCTCGAAAAAGCAAGCAGAGCACTAAACCTGTTAATACTGGTAATAATAGATTTAATGACTGCAATAATATTGTGATTATCATAATACGGTCTCAGTAGCTAATAGCAAGCTAGCGCTGGCATGCATATCACTTTCCTTGCTTGAGAGAAARGGTAAGTATCAACCAGAAAGCCTCATTTCCTAATCAGTATGTTTCCTACACTGTGATGAACAGGTATTCCCACATCATGCTATGCAGGATTAATCTCTTGCCAAGTTAAAGACTCAGTCATGGTCWTGATTCTCTATTGTGTTTGGCCTTATGAACATCAATGATTTTGATAATAATACTGCAATATGCTGGAATTTCTAGGTAAACACCAAATCAAAAAACACACATTTGGAAGGGAAGTCAAAAGACAGAGACCTCTACAAGAATATGCAAGTCACAATACTGTACAAGATCCTACAGTGGATTTCAAATACTTAAAGGAAAATATCAATGATGTACCACATAAAATGGCTATTGAACAGCTATTCATGACATCCCCAAGCAGCTCAAGCCAATCAGTGCCATGGATAGTGAAAATCTGAAACCAGAGGAAATCATCATGAAGGAATTAAAAGTAAAGCAGAACATTCATAGTATCACTCTTCTTTTTATTTTTGGTATAGATATTCATTTAATAACTAAATGATCATAAAATAACTTAATCTATGTTTCATTGATTTGAAGTTTATGTAGAGTTTATAAAATTACATAATTGTCATGGATGATAATATAGATTATTTTAGTATGATCATAATTTATTTACAGCACCATAGTATTAATTTTCATAATTGTATACCTATGCTTGTTATTCAGAACATATTTGGAGGCTATATTTTATTTTCTTTCTTAGGTGACAGTAGAAGACAAAATAAGAATAGAGAAAGATACTAGAGGTCAAAGTGAAAGTCTTAGATGGTATAGAGAAAGGAAAGGCAGAATTACAGCAAGCATTGCAAAAAGTTGTTGTTCTAAAGGGAACCCTGCTGCCACTGTAAAAAATATCTTAACAGTTGGTAAACCAGGTARAGGGCCAAAGTCACCACATATTAAGTATGGTATCGAAAATGAAGAAAATGCAGTTCAGAAATTCAGTTCACAAATAAATGCTGATGGTTGTCACTGCAGTATTTGTAAATGTGGACTGTTTATTGAAGAAGAAACAGGTGTACTAGCTGCTACACCAGATAGACTAGCAACCATAGATGGAGAAGAAGTGGTTGTAGAGGTGAAATGTCTATCTGCAAGCAGAGATCTACCACCACTTGCTGCAGTTACTGCAAGAGAGAAAGATGGCAACTTTGGATTTAAATTAGATAAARGTCAAATTGTTCTGAAGAAAAAGCATAAATTTTTCTATCAAGTACAAATGCAGATGGCATTAACTAATAGGCTTAACTCTTATGTAGTAATATTTACAAATGATAAATTCAATGTTGACATYATAAAGGTAAAATTTGATGAGCAGTTTTGGAAGGAAACAAAAGAGCAGCTGCTAAGTTTCCATGCTAGACATGTTGTACCTGCTCTTGTACGCCAGAGATTCAGATAGATATTCCTAAATATAATTTTGTGATCATTATATTTAAATTAATATAATTATATTTCAGTGTCAGAAA